TAAAAAACTACTTGATATTAATTTACAATTTAATTCAAATCTCTGCCATCATCTGGGGCACCGGGAACATGCATTTGTGTTTGTACCCAGTGCCGCAGAAGGGGGCAGTCAGGCTTGTCGCTGAGCACGTTTAGGATGGTGTTGGCGCTATTCCGCGCACGGAACATCAGCGAGGCGATGCGGCGCCGCCGCACAGCGTGGAAGCCGTCCGTGTGCGCGTGCGCAAACATCGTAGGCGCACTGCAGTAGCGCGGGAGCTCCACCAGCACCCTGAATGCGTAATTGTACTGTACTCGGAGAGCGTTGATGGCCCACACGTGTAGTTGACCCACAGACTGTAAGTGTATTGAGTTTGGTAAAATGCTTTAAAGAGGGTTGTCTTCACTGCAAAGCTTCACCGCGCGAATCTGCGTGCCAACATATTACAGCGGACCGTCATTGCCCTCCTTTCCCTTTCGATATCAGCATCGTCTTTTAAATCCTCGGTAACCACATGGCCGAGATATTTAAACTCTTTCACCCTGCGTAGACCCTGCGACGCCATTTAGCAGCATATGCGGCACATCTCCCAGCTTACGACCCCTAGCTTGAAAGATCAAGAGCCAACTCTTTTTAACATTGTACAGAGACCTTGTGACAAAGCGTACTTCTCACATACACCTATTAGTTTTCTGAGACCGGCGATTGATGAGCTGAGGAACCCCATGTCATCTGCATAACCGATGATGTTGATGCAGAGACCATCAATCTAGCAACCGTCCCCTGTGTCGCTCAGCTCGACAATCAACCGATCAACTCCAACCCGTACTCATCAGAAAGCTCACTAAACCATCTGACCTGGTTTGTTTGGTGTTCCCACCCGGCATACCTCTGTCTTTTAATTTACGCCAAAGAATATCATATCCAACCAGGTCAAATGACTTAGTGCGACCAAGAAAGGCTGCATACACGCGTGTTCCTATCCGTGTAGTACCTAACAGTCTGCATGAGAGACAATTGCGCATTCAGTCGAAAGTCCTGGTCTGAAGCCGAACCGAGCGTGCAGGCCGTCAAGCACCTCGGACGTGGTTGTAACTAATGATATCGGGTGATAGTTGCACTTGTCAGAAGTATCACCAGTTTTATTTTTAATAATAGGCACCACAGAATACTATAATACACAATAGAATGGCTGTCAACCTTACTTTGTAGGCGTGGCGTCGCCGGGAGCACACATACAAGCAATTACGTCGTATTATCACATCACTACTACAAACACATTTTAGACTTTTGATAATGTTTTTGACACATAAATGTTTCTTTATTTTTGTTTCTAATATTCACAAAATATAAATAGTTTCGACTTACTGGTTGTAGAATATGTCTCCTTTATTAAAATTCCATTTCCCGCTGTTCTTTCGACACGTAATTATTGCACAATTTGCCATTTTTTAAATAATTTGCATGCAACGACGCTTGACACGAAAATTGGAAACGATTGTGTTGATATTTATACGTGTGAATTGACGTGTTAGTGACTAGACGAGCTCCGCCCACTCTCCCGTTCTATTATGTATATATTATAGCATTCTATAGGCACTATCACCGTATTCTTTAGCTCTTTGGGAAGATAGGAATGCCTAGTGCATAGCGTGAACATAATATTTTTTTTTGTTACAAAAAAGGGCAGCCTCTCAGCAACAGCATCCTACATGCCCGCATCAGAAGACCACCACAACGGTCAGTACCACAATACTATCTTAGCATTAGCGGAATGTCTTCAGTAGAAACCACAGAACATATATACCCCGAAGTGGAAACTCCCCCTCTCGGCACCTACACTGAACTTTATACTAGACAGAGGAGTGGAGGTTTCTCAATGGACCCTCAAATCCATCCCGCCACCATAGATACAACGCTCTGCTAGAGTTACGCAACCCCCCGCCCACTCTCGGTCCAACCGGCATTCTATAGACGCGCCTACAAATTACCTATAGAATGAAGTAGATGGCGCTATAACAAAGCAATTTTACTCGAATTTTCTGAAGATTTGATTTCAACCGCGTGTGGACTGCACAGTCTTTTTTAAATTCTTGTCTGTCTGTCCGGACCAATCTTCAGCAAGTTACAAAAACAGATAAACCGAGTTTTTATTTTTTCCTTTCTTAAAAAATTGCTGAGATAATGTAGACTAAAAATGCCGTTTTCCGATCGTTCTCATTAATAAACAATACAATCGTTATATTTTAATTATTTAATTAAATTTACATAGGTAGTTTAAAGTGAGAATTCATTTTCTAAAACAATGAATTTTTTATAGAATAGGGTGACAAACAAGCACACAGTCCACCTGATGGTAAGTGGTTGCTGTGGCATTAAGAATCAAAACGCAGATGCATTATCACCCCTGAGGACTGAGATGGAATGCCTCATTTTCAGTAAAAAAGGGTCTCCGGTTCTCTACCCTCACCATACGAAACACAGCAGCATTAAGTTACCATTTTACACAGGTGTTCTGTGAGAGCATGGTCCTTCCCCGGTCGAGCCGACCCATTCATGCTAAAACTATACTACTAATATAACTGCAGCATGGCTCTACCACGTATCAAAAACAGAGTATATTTATATTAACGAGTATATTATATTAAAAAAATATTAACAGAGTATATTTAACTTCAATTTTTATTTCTACCGAAGAAGAAATGTTATGATTTTTTACCGACTTCAAAAAGGAGAAGGTATTCAATTCGACCGTATGTTTTTGTTTTAAGTGTGTTTGAACTTTTTCTGGGTGAACTGATTTTGGCGATTTTTTATTTGAAAGCTAGTGTTTCTCATGTGGTCCCATATAAATTCGATCAAGATCTGATCAGTAGTTGTTGAGTTATCAAATACATTGGTTCGGCGTATTGAAGTCGGTTGTACAAAATTTTTAATTTTATCACTTGTGTATGTTGAACATGAAAGTAAAGACTTAATTAATGTTGATTACAAAGAATGTTTCTAAAAATAATTGTTTGTTATTTAACTTTGAATAAATATCGTAATAAAGTTGTAATTTTTTTTTACATTGCATTATTATAAAAACATGGTAAAATGAGTAAATTTTCGCAAAAAAAAAAACACTATCTTTTATTTATTTATTAATATATTATTAGCAACAACTGTATAAATAGAAATTACAGCACTTATTACCTAGTTTTTCCATGCACTCAATATATTTTATAAATATATATATTTTTAATAAAAAATACGCTCATTAAATATAATATTAAAAATTTAAGACTTTTTCATGTTATATTAGCTTTATAATATCTCCCCAGTTTAATAGACAGATGATCTTAATCTCCTCATTAAATGTCTTTTTGCATTATTTTAAACGTTATTCAACAAAATTAACATTACAACTTAAATTGCAGATGAAAAGTTTTATATAATTCTCTTATAATTATTTTAAGTCATATCTGATTAGAATGAGTATAATGCCGGCTAAGAACCAGATGAACGTACTACAAATTTATCAACAAATACGCCGTTTTTACTGAAATTTTTTTGGAACTCGTGTGAAAGAGTTGTGAACATAGAATACTATAATACACAATAGAATGGCTGTCAACCTTATTTTGTACGAGGATCGGTGTCGCCGGGAGCACACATACAAACAATTACATCGTATTATCACTACTACAAACCCAATTCGCTGTGTTGACAGACTGAGTAAATTTAAACATTTTAGACTTTTCATTAATGTTCACGATCATCATTAAAAAAATCGTTTAAATTTTAATACATATTTATTTGTAAATAGGGTGCAATTTGGCATTTTCTAAATAATTTGCATGGAAAATTTGGAAACGATTGTAACGTCAAAACACATCTCGTGTTGACATTTATACGTGTGAATTGACGTGTTAGTGACATTTTAGTGGCTACACGGGCTCCGCCCACTCCCCCGTTCTATTATGTATGTATTATAGTATTCTATGGTTGTGAAGAAAGCACTTATCAGAAACGTCAAAGTTGACACGGCGGATGGATAGGATAGACGACAAAGTTAACAATGTAAATTGGTTAAATATTCGATGGTGACAATATCGAAAAGACGATGATAAACATATTATCTTCTTGAAGTATAATTTAGATGATCCTGAATTTTAAGGATTAAAGTGATAAGAAGGAGTAGAAGACCTGCTATTTATAGCATGGTTTTTAAAAATTATATGTATGCAGTGTTATTGCTTTCTATCGCGAAATATTTATTGTGATGTGATTTTCTATCAATATCACGAATTTTATCGCAGTTTCTTAGTGATGAATTGTGTGGTGTTAATGATAACAATAATTTGTTTGAGTTGGATAACTATTATTGTTCATTGAGTTAACAATATAGTTTTTTTTTAATAAATGATTACCTATCTTCATTATTTTTATGGGTATATTATAACAGTATTATATTGTATTATATTGGATGTATTGTTATGAGTATTACATTTAATTTTTACCAAATTCTAGAAAAAAAATATGTATTTTAAGAGTATCTTTTTACGGTGGTACTCTCCTTAATTAAATTTAAATTATTGTGAAAGCTAAATTCTAAGTTCTTATGATTAATTAATTTGTTTAGTATATTGTTATTAGAATTATTTATACTATGTACGTCAACCGTTTTGATAAATAAAAACTAAATAAAACCTTAATAATAATGTTAAAGTGTTCTAATTATTATAAACTACATGTTTAGTTTAATAAAAATTTTTTTGAACAAAGCATTTTTAATGGATATGTTCATTTATTTTTTATTCATTATTATTATCTGTCTGTTCATTAAATAGCGTTTCCTGAAAGTATGCAAATTTGTAGATACGTTCATCTTATTCTTAGCTGGTGATAAGATCTAAACGAAAAGATAGGTGCGTTATGAAATGAAATTTTTGGTACTCGGTCAGTTATGACAACTTTCACCATCTATATCGAGATAGCGTCGAGAGTACCATGAGAATTAAAGCGTGTATGTGGTGGCGATGGTGAGGCTGGCTACTCCGCCCTGGCGTCGGGGTGCCGCTCGAGCAGCATGGCGACGCCTTGGCCGCCGGCCGCGCACGCCGATATCAGGCCCAGCTGCCCGTCCTCGCGCACCAGCCGGTGCGCCGTGTGCATGGCCAGCCGCACCTGAAGCGATCACGATCCACTATCAACTATTAAACACAATGAAGGCGCCAGATCGCGCTACTTGAGTCCTCGGCCAGCCTCAACGGAGACTAGCCATCGGCGCAGGACAGGATTATAGTGCCCAAGTGTATGCGCAAGCACAGGTGCACTCTCTATTCCCTCACTCTCATAATCCGATGGGACGGTAAACCGACACGACCGGAAGAGAGATCAGGCGCAGGACTGATGGCTTTACGTGCTTTCCCAGGCACGGGGGTGAGCCACCGCCATTTACCTGACTCCGGGTAACTACTGAGAATTTCTTGACAGAAAAATCTCAATAATTAATTTTTTGGCCCTACCCGGTATTCGAACCCAGGAGCTCATAATCAGCAGTCGCACTACTACAACCGCTAGAGCAACGAGACAGTCACACGCAGATAGTCATACGGTGTTATCATTAAAGTGTTGTGATTTAATTACAAGTTTTTCATTAATATTTTTGCTTTTCATAAATTCTTCCACTTTTAAGAATATCCGTAGTTTGGTTCATCGATTTCTTGTTGAATTAATATAAAATATAACTAATAATTCAGAAAGAAACATAAATCTCTACACTTTTATAACAAATTAACTTCCTCTGCTATGAAATCTATTAAATACTCACCTCAATACTAAGTGGTACGCAATAGTGACAGAAAAAGTTATCGTATCCTGGTATGGTTGTAAAAACTTTAACTACAAAATTTCCATAAATATTTTCGTAAATAGCAGCTCCATGATGTTGTGTTTCATATGGTGAGTATAGAGAAACTGAGACCTCCTTTATTGAAAACGAGACATTCCATCTCATTCCTCACGGTTGACAACACATCTGCACTTTGATTTTTAGTCGGAGATAGATGTAAAAGTTTATGGGCCACAGCTCATCCACTTACTATCATGGACTGTGTGCTCGTTTGTAACCCATATTCTATAAAAAATACAACCAACAAAAGGGATGGGAGAGCAAGTACACTATGTATAAAACTCAATGATTTCAATAGGAAAGATAGGCCCATCTAAATATTTTACTCATTACTTTTTCATACAAGAAAAATTAGCGCATCTGTCATAATAAAAACGTCATATCATAATACGACGTAACCAGGGTCGGATTTCGTAGTATAATTATCCTAATTGCACCATTGTTTCATAGTTTATAGTATCATGTACAATGATTGCGGCAGTACAATATTATTTACACTTATTAATTCTATAACCAAAAAGTACTAAAAGTATTATCTTGTTCCAGATTTTTCTTTCTTTTTGTTTGTTATCGGGAGCTTGTCTGCCGCGAATGAATTTCGCCTGGTACGTGTCATCCAAGTGCCTTGCACTGCAGGTCTCTGGCCTCGGGACATGCCCCATTGCCCTGATTCTCCTCACGGCTCACTACTATGGGCCGGCCTAGGGAGCTGTTACGACGTTGTAAGAACACTTACAAAGACGTAACAACGGCTAGCGAGAATGAAACGAAACCAATTTATACCTAACCTATTTTATTTTTTTATAAAAAAAAAACAAAAACAAAAAAAAAAAATCCGCTAGCCGTTTGTTTGCGGTCTAGTTAAACTGGTTAGTCACTCTTTGACTTTGTGGGCTGTTACTCGACTCCCTAATCTATATTGAAAGGAGTTCTCGCGACCTTATCCAAATGAGATCGCCCGTCCGGAGGTCAAGTGTGCAATGGCGCGATGTTGTTGAGGCGTGGGTGTGGCTCGTTGTCAGCGCGGTTAAACATACCGCGCGCCAGCCGGACCACAAATTCCTGGATTGTTTTTATTTTCAGGTTAGCCGCTGTAGTAACGTCGTTCCGGACGTAGCGACCTGCACCGACAATGATCCGTAGTGACAAGTGACAAGTTCTGCTGTACCTGCAGTCGCCGCCTCTGTCGATCGCTCAGAAGTGCGTAAAGAGCAGCGTATGTTATTAGTGATTCTTATATACAGGATGTTAGTGTAAACACCGTTATCCTTGAAACCAGTGGTTTGGTTTCACTTATAGAACATAAATTCAATGAAAAATAACAACTACGTCTGCGAGAAATGACGCTACTAGCCGCAATATCTCTCCTGCTAGGAGGGATACTAGTCTGTTCTAACTTATAGAGTAGTCCAGAGTGCCACACCCTGTCGAACGCCTTCTCTATGTCGAGAAAGACGCCCAACGCGGTTGTTCCCGACCGCAAGGAGGTGCAGCACCCTGGTCAGCTATGTAGTTGTTGAATGACCCCTCCTGAATCCGTGCTGCTCCACCAGAAATTGTATGCACTGGCGGAGGCATCTAAGCAACAATCTATCCAGCAGTTTAGTTATGTGCGGTAGCAGCGTAATCGGCCTATAGCTGGCAGCTCTATGTCTGGCCTTTCCGGATTTCGGCAACGCGAACTTTGCCATCTTCCAGTCCTCCGGTAAATGGTATGTCCGCAATATACTGTTGTAGAGAAGACCGATCTCTACATGGACTCTATTGGGTAGCTGTCGGAGTGTAGCGTTGGTAATCCCGTCGTGCCCCGACGCCTTTCTCGGTTGCAGGCGGGTTACTGTCCTCCGCAGTTCAGCGGGGATGAACCACTCTCCTGCAAGCGGTGGCGCAGGTGACGACAGGAACTGCTGTACGCGGCTTTTTTGATGAATGAACTCCATGAACTCCGCACTTGCAAGGTTCGGCATACATTGCTCCTCGAAGTGCTCTTCTAGGATATCAGCTCTACCCTTGGCACCATAACAACGTTCGCCCGCACGTTGTTGATCAGGAGGCAAACGGGAGGGCTAGTTTTCGTTAACTGTCGGTTCAATTCGTTAGAGCGACGCATCTTGCTCTTCGGCTTTCCAGATACGCTGCTCCCAGGCCTCTTCTCTGTGGGTCTGGAATCTGAATTGCAACCGACAATTCGTCCGTTACTTGATTTAATTGTTTTTAGTCTGGGGCAGCGAGTGCGTGCCCAGAGCTTCCTCAGCGCTCTTTTATGTTTCAGCTGCACGGGTATCTCTCGCGGCAGCTCGTCTTTTCTTTCCGTGAGAGGGACGATCGGAGAGGCCGCGTGGAGGGCCTCCTGGATGGTCTTGGAAATTCTAGTTGCGGCGGCCTCTACATCGTCCGCTGAGTTTAATGGCGTGTATTCTGGAGGTCTCCTCTTTCCTACCCCTGAAGCAAAGCCTGGCCATATGTTCACTGGCACAGCGAACGCACTTCACTAGCCTGAAGCAATTTGTGGAAGCATACCCGAAATCCTGGCAACGGTGGCATTGTCCCGTTCCTCTTTGCCAGGCTTCGATGACCAGCCCTCTCATAAAGAGGAGTTCGTCGATTCAGTAGAGATTATTCAGTCGCTCCAGGCTCAGCCTCTACAGGGTGGGATCACCTTAACATACTTTATCGGAATCCTTTTGACCTTTATTGCTTTAGTACTTGTGTCCACTGGCAGCCCCTAGATGCCCACTATTGTGGCTTCTCCTCCTCCGAGGTGTAGCAGTATCAGGATAATGTTGGTAATTTTTCCGATAATTCGACCATATATCGTTGAATGATACGAAATTTAGCTGGGCTCTGAGGGGTAAATCTGACCCCTTTCCGGAGCGGATGGGCATTAGGAGGGTGGCCTAACTTCCTGTTAAGCTCCTCGAAATAGATAGGCGGATATCTTGCCTTCTCCGTTTTCTTGTCCGGTTTAGGCTCTTCCGCCACCTTGGGTCTCGGTATGCTGCTGCCATGTGGGCATAACTCGTTGAGGGCTTTTGTCCGCTATCTTGCGGTAGCTCCACCGAGTTTGAATTAGGCACGGGTGATAAATGCCCAGGTCACGTAAGTAGTTGCGCCCCAACTGTAGGATTCCTCCACTCCCTGTTCGAACTAGGCAGAGTCATGACTGTGTCGATCCGGTGAGTTGAAGGGGGTGGTTGCGGTGGTGACGGCTACTTAGGCGGAGTGTTGTGCACCCTTTTGCTTCCCGTCGGTAGGGGCTCTTCATCTTCTGATGATGATGACGCTAATGTTGTTGAGATCGGGGAGCCTATGCACTGCCGCCTCTTTTCATGGAGGGAGGATTCGGTCTCCGGAGTGTGCCTCCTCGCCGACTTATTCACCCGCTACAATTGGGGCGTTTGTTCACGTGCGGCCGTGTACATATATGCGGCGGGCGTGAGCGCACCGCTCGGTGCGGGTTCCTTGGTCGGGGATATAGGCTTGCACTTAGGAATCTGGCTCAATGAAGCAAACTTCGACCGCTCTGGATTGCGCAGGTCCCTCGACAGAAGGGGCCTGTCCAGTACGCCTGAACGGTTCGGTGGTTTATGTACACGAGAGGGCTCCCCCTTAGGGGGGGGGGCTCCTCCTTAGCGGACATGACGTTGGTAGTGACTGTTACACTGTTTTGTTACTGTGTGATGTTCGTAATTCGTCTAAACGTGTCGTATCTATTACTCACCCAACGAGCCGACAGCGACGAATGAAGCGCGACGCGGGGGATGAGGGGGGCGGGAGATGGTGGGTGGCCGCGACACTTTTGGGGCGCTGCCAGCACCTTATGTTATGAAACTGTTGAGGGATGTGCTTAGGTTACGGTGTGGTTAGGTACTCTTACACGCTACTTGACACCAGGCAGATCCAAGTACGCTCGACCCCCTCTACGCTAATCACGATACAACGCACACCTAGGAGATCTTTAAATTTCTTCGACCAGATGCTAGTCTTATATTCCCGCAGCGAGAGCAGCACCGCCGGGGATCTCCTACGCAAGCTTGAAGCGCATCGAACCGTTATGCAGCGGGCGACGGGGCGGCGGCTCGCATCGTCGTCCGTAGCAACCAGAAAAATTTCACTGCAGGTAAGTAATCACTCTTGGCAAATGGATTGACATTCGCAGTGCCAGACGTCTCATATGTTTGACATTGTTGCCTCATGATGCCACTCTCATCTTTAATTATTGTCTATGGATTCAAACCGTGAATGTAATGTTTAGTAAATAGTAAATACATAATATCACAACCACTAGGAACTCACCCCAGTTGCGGCAAAAGGATGTCCAATAGAGAGCGAGCCTCC